GACGAGCCTGGCGCGGATGCACGCCTGCCAGGGGGCGGGGGGGGGTGGGAAAGGGGGGGGAAAGGGGGGGGGGGGTTCCAGGCAGGGGGGGTGTTTGCGAGGAGACGGGGTTGCGAGGAGGCCACCGGCGTGAAGGCAGGGAGGGGTGGAGAGCTTCCCGCGGGAGTGCACGCCTGCAGCAGCGCGTGCTGGGCCGACTGCGGCGGCGACACGTTCGCGGCGTGCAGCCGGCGCAAGCAGCCGACAGCGGCCGCCACGGCGGCCTCCGGGTGTGGCTGCAGCTCGACCGTCAGCGAGTAGATCGCGACGAACGCGGCGTGCAACTCGCCAGCCACGCGCCGCGCCCACTCTGCTGGCGTCACCTGGCTCGCCGTCGCCGATCCCGTCCGCGACGGCGCCGCCGGCTCCAGCCGGCCGCTGCCCCAAGGCCACCGCTTGGGCGCGGAGCGCGCCTCCTTCTCGCGCGCCGCCGCCGCCGCCGCCTCGGCGACAACCGCCACCGCGACGCGCCTCGACGCAGTCGGCGCCTCGCTCGCGCGCTGCGGGCTGTCGGCGCGGCCGGCGGCCGCTGGCTTCGGATCGCCCGAGGCACGCCGTTGCCCCGAGCGCACGCCCCCCGTGCCCTCCCCGCCGGGGGTGCGCCTGCGTGGCAGAGACCGACGGCCGCGTGAGCCCCCCCCCCCGCTTGGGGCTGCCTCGTGCAGGCGGCGGAGGCCGTGAGGCGTCTCGGAAGTGTCTCGGAAGTGCCTCGGGAGTGTCTCGGAAGCGTCTCGGAAGTGTCTCGGAAGTGTCTCGGCAGAGGCCGTGAGGAGATGCGGCGGGTTCGACTTCCAGTGGTAGGGTTCGATGTCAAGGCTCCGGGCTTTGGGTCGGCGCTGGCTCAGGGCACCGTCGAGCGGGCGATCCGGTTTCAAATCAAAAGGCCCGCGGATCAAGGCAGCTCAAACATGGAGGCCAAGATCGGATCTTCGCCGCCAGCGGTGCGGGGCAGAGAGTGTCTCGGAAGTGCCTCGGAAGTGTCTCGGAAGTGTCTCGGAAGTGTGTCGGGAGTGCCTCGGGAGTGCCTCGGAAGTGTGTGTGTGTGTGGGAACGGGGGAGGGGTGACGGCGCATCTAGGCGACGCTCGACCAGTTGAAGCGAACCGGCTGAGACTGCGATCTGGAGTGGCGGGAGACCGCCTCCGCCGCCGGCCGGGTCGACGCCCGGTCCGGCGTCTGCGGCGCCGACGCCGTCCTCGGGATTCCGGCGGAGTCCGGGCAGTCGGCGGCCGGCGGCGCGGGTGTCGCCGCCGCCTCTGCCGGCGCGGGCGAGTCCCAGAGGCGGTGCAGGCCGGAGCTCTCCCTGTTCACAGCTCGACCGCGTGACGCGGCGCCGTTCACAGCCGGAGCAGGCTCCGGGCAGCCGCGTGCGTCTCGCCTCCGCAGCAGCGTGGGGGCCGGCGTGGCCACCTGCGGCGCCTTGTCGCCCGTGGCGCGGCGCGGCGGCACGGCGGAGCGCGGCGCCGTCGCGCCGGCGGCCGGCGAAGGCCGCCCCCCGCCGCAGGACGCGCGGCGCGGCTCGATGGGCGCGGCGGCAAAATTAAAGGGCGGGATGGGGCGCGGCGCGCGAAGCGCCTCCCGCCGCAGCCGCGGCCACCGCTCGTGGGGGCCGCAAGTGGCGCCGCCGCCGAGCGAGTACGGCGGCGGCACCTGGTAGACGCGGCTGCGCGGCGGCGGCGGCGGCAGCGCCGGCAGAGTGGACAGGTCGCGCGCCGTCGGCGGCGCGGAGAGGCAGCGGTCCGCCAGGTGGTCGAAGAGGAGCAGCTCGCCGTTGCGCGACGAGAGGGAGGTTCGCTGCTCGATGAGCGAAGTGAACGACTGCGTCTCGGCAAGCCGACGCAGCAGCGCAGCCTCGGCGGCGCTCCGCCCCGCGACGAGCGAAGGGACGTCGATCAGCCTGCGAAGCCCGCGCGCGCTCGAGGGCGGCCGTAGGACGAGCGCCTCTTGGTAGCCGCGCAGGCAGTGCGCAAAGAAAGAGGCGAAGGTCTGCCGCACGACCGCGCGCTGCGCGACCGCGACCGCGTCGCTCCCCTCCGCGTCCTCACTCCGCACCGGGAAGGCGGCGTCCGGCGCGAGCAGCTCCGCCGGAATGCAGCTGGTAAGGGAGAGGCCGCCGCTCCCGCCGGCCCCATTGTCGCCGCCGCCGCCGCCGCCGCCGCCGCCGCCGCCGCCGCTACCACCACCAGCGCATCCGCCGCCGCCTCCGCCTCCGCCGCCGCCGCCTGCGCCGCTCCCGCCGCCGCCCGCGCGGCTTTGCGGACGCGGCGCCGTGTACTGCTCGTCGGGGCGCGAGCGGAAGGTCTCCAGCGCCGCGAGCAGCACGGTGGAGTGCGGGAGCGGCGGCAGCTGCTCGTCGAGCGGCGGGACGAGGAGCGTGCCCTCGTCCAAGTTTGCGACGAAGGCATCGGGCGGCAGCACCGGCGGCAGCGCGCGGCAGGCCGAGGCGAAGGTGGAGGCGTGGATGCCGATGACGAAAGGGACGGGCGACTGTAGCACCTCCACGAGCAAGCCTGGCAGCAGCGGGATGTAGATGCCCTGCCACCGCAGCGGCCACAGCAGCGAGAGGAGTGCCTCGGCGGCGGCGGTGAGCTGCGAGAGGTTGGAGGCGACGAAGAGGACGCGGTGCTCGAAGAGAGCGCCCCGGAAGAGGGAGAGGACCTGCCTCGGCTCGAGGGCGTGCAGGAGGGCGCCCAGCGGCAGCGGCGGCTCGGGGAGCTCGCGGGAGAGGTCTGGCCGCTCGAACGTCATCTGCTCGCCCCCGAGGCCGAGCTGGACGGAGATGTGGCCCGGCGCGGGCATGGGCGCCTCCCACAGCAGGGACGACACGAGCGCCTCGACCGGCTCGCTGCTCGCAGTGAGCGAGTGGCGGTACAGCATGCAGACCCACTTGCGCAGCGCGCGGAAGAAGGGCGCCGGGGAGAGGACGCACAAGCAAGTCGGCGCGTGCAGCTGTTTCTCGCCGAGCGCAGAGCCGCACCGCACCGCCGCCGGGGCAGCCTTGCCCGCCGCGGGCGGAAGCGCGACCCCGCCGCCGCCGCCGCCGCCGCCGCCGCCCTCCGACGGCCTCCACAGCACAGCGCCTCCCGACCCGAACGCGCTGAGTAGTGCGGCGTCGATCTGGTGCTCTGCGGCGTCCGCCACGCGCACAGACCCGCACCCGCCGCCGCCGCCGCCGCCGCCGCCGCCGCCGCCGCCGCCGCCGCCGCCGCCGCCGCCGCCGCCGCCGCCGCCGCGGGTCCCGCCGGTCGCGCCGGCGTGCGTCGGCGCAGCCTCGAGCGCGGCCTTGGGCGGCGCCGCGTCGGGCGACGCACCTACCGCTAGCCGCGGCGGCGCGCCGCCGTCCCGTCTCCGGGACCAGCAGCCGCCCGCGCCCGCCGCGTCGGCCGTCGAGACGGCGGGCGGGCGCGGGCCGCCGGGCCGCGCGCCGGCGCACGCCGTCGGCCTGTCGATCGCCTCGAGGGCGGTGCCGATGGGCGTGCTCCGCGCCGCCGCCTCGCGCGGGCTGCACGGCTGCGGCGGCGCGAAGGACGGGGCGGCGGCGCCTTGCTCTGCCACGCCGTCTGGGTAGAGGACGAGGTCGCCACCGAGCGGCTCCCAGACCGTGAGGCAGACGGCAAACATGCGCCGCCCAGAAGAGTCGGTGAGCGCGAACTCGTGTGCGGTCGGCCAGCCGCCGCCCTCGCGCAGCCTCGCGCCACGC